ATGCCGAGTTTGACTTTGTATATGGTCAATGTAGCTAATGCTAAGATTATGTTTAATAAGAAGCATAACCTGATTTATGGAAAATTCAAGCTGACCTCTTCCCGGGCTTCTAGTATCTCTTAGTGGTTTGGTTGCCTTTCCCGGAGACGGTGTTCTCCAGTCCTGAATCCGGAGATGACCGTCCGTAACTTACGAAGCTACGAGGACAGGGCATGCAGCGCTGAACCCAATGCCCGGCATGCTTCAACTGCTCTGCTGCATCACAACTCGAAGTGCTAAGATACGTTGAACACACCTCCACATTGCAATTGGTCGCGTTCGAATGTTTATCTTATGGCGAGCACTTGCGGTTTAACCATTTAGCAACGGGCTAAGGAATTTGATCAGCCGTATCTGCCGTCCGACCCCGGTAGTTGTTCTCACCGTAGTAGCAGTAGCGCCCGGACAAGAAGTGTTTGGACAGGCTCAGCTGGATGCATGTAGCCCGCTCCGCACAGCCAAGAACTCGAGCGAAGACGTTTCCACTCGCCTGCGGCGCATGTTGGAGAGGCGAGGGGGGACAAGGAGAAAAGTGCGGGATACTCAATCTGAGACTTCATCTCTTGGTATCCTCAGCCGCGACAAGCTTCGGATCAGGCCAGTTGGTTACTGCAGCGCATGCTGTGCAAGACAAACGCTCCTTCATGCATAACAAGTTGTTCTTTTCCTGAATAGCTTGGAAACACTAGAGGGTTCTCACCTGGCTTTATGACATTCTGAATAGTCAGGGCAATTAAGCGACCGAGCGCGAGAAGGGATCACACGGTCGGTGCCCGGAGTTCCCCGGTTCTTGCTGCAGCACGGCGCACATCTTGGACCAAAACATCGAGTGATCGCCAAAGTCGCGCCCTCCGCGCACGCCGACATCAGTGTAAAATTCGATTCTTTGGAACCGCTTCAGATTTGAATACCATCTCTGGCACCTAGACATACCTCGAACTGCTGCTGGAAAGCCGAGTCACTTGTAAACAGCCTGGCGTTCCAGCATCTGGGCAAAGCCCCCTGTACAAGTAGCAACTTGTAGCGCCGAGCAAAGAATAGTAAGTGCAGGTAGAATCCTTTCGACATTCGGTACGACATTGAGTCGGGCCAGAAACTGTCAGTGAGTGCAGCTCGAGAAAGTAATAGTTTCCCGTCTTGGGAACGAAACATGTGTCGTCCGTTGCTCCCAAGTAGATTACTTCCTGCAGCACGGGCCCATCCCCGAAGGGTGGGAACTGGTAGAGGCCGTAGATCGTGCAAGAAAGGGTCAGTGCCGCCCGAGCTCCTGCATCTGTAGGCATCAGGCTAGCGAGCTCTTGCGATGGGGCAAGCCGCACAGACCCAGTGGTCAGGTCCATGTCGAAGAACGGGAAGCCCTCGTAGGTTCCCTGACCAGTAACTGTGTCCAAGGTGACGATGCCTCCATTATCACTGGAGCACTTGCCAGTGAAGGCTGTTGGGGGCAGCAGCCGGATGGCCTGGTCAGGCACCTCAACGTTGATCGTGGCGGCGACCTGCCCGACTGTCACCTGCACGTGGCACGTGAGGAAAAGTCCGGCATTTTGAACAAGCAAGGCCTATCGAATCTGTGAGTTTCTGTATGCTCTCACACTCGGACAAGCAAGAGTCTGGGAAATGGCACTCGTCGTCGGCACTGCGACTATGGAGCTGCCCTTTGCTTGCCTTTCTGAGCTGTCCAGGTACAGTTCTTGATACCGTTCTTGCTCTTCTTTGGTTTCGTTTCATGCTGTACTTGTTCCCTCGAGCACATACACCGCAGTTTTATCTGCAGAACAACAACAAAGAAGGAACGAGCAAAATAACAGGAGCCCGTCCGAACTACAACTTCTTGCTTTGGTGTCTTCTCATGTGGAAGAGACAAATCCTGCAGCCCCACAGGTTGTTCTGCGGTGTCGTCTCTTCTACTAGTACAGGACTGCAGACAAAACCTCGTGGCCCGCATGTTGTTCTGAGGGAGGGTTGTTCCTGTACACTGGCAGAAGAAACATATTCTGGTCCCCGGTTTGTTGTCTGCGGGGGTTGTTGTTCTGCTGTTCTTGTGCTTGTTGTTGCACTGTTGTTCCCTGCGTTGCTTGTGAACAAGGGCTCCTTGCGCTTGGTTTGTTGTTTCGCTGGTAGCAAAGACAACGCCCCGTGCGTTTGTTGTACCCCCTGCCCCCTTGCCCTCTCCCCGGAAACGAGGTTGTTGCTGTTGTTGTTGGCAGCGCGGTATAAGAACAAATGCTGGTACCCCGTGTGCTGTTCTACCCCTCTCTCTTCACCGCTCGCAATCCATGCCTTTCGTCGGAAACGAGGTCGTTGCTGCTAGTCTGGTAAATGAAACAAGTTCTGGTGCCCCGTGTGTTAACCCCTCCTTCGCAACCCATGCCCGCTTCCCGGAAACGAGGTTGTTGTTTCTAGTCTTGTAGAAGAAACAAAAGCTGACGCCACCCTTGCAACCCACACAACTTCGGGGGGCGCGCCGAGCTGGGACACGCCCCGTGCCGTGTCTCCTTTATATTTTTTGCTCGCCTGAGACTCCAGTCTTTGTCTTTAACAATGACGATCAACAACAAAGAAGGAACGAGCAAAACAACAGGAGCCCGTCCGAACTACAACTTCTTGCTTTGGTGTCTTCTCATGTAGAAGAGACAAATCCTGCAGCCCCACAGGTTGCTCTGCGGATGGTAGAAAAAGCAATTTCTGGTGCCCCCAACGTGTTGTTCTTTCCCCCGCCCGCAACCCATGCCCTCTCCCTGGAAGCAAGGTTGTTGCTTCTAGTCTGGTAAAAGAAACAAATTTGTGTTGTCCCCCCCGCTCGCAACTCATGCCTTTTTCCTGAAAACGCCCCCTCGCAACCCATGCCCTCTCCCCGGAAATGAGGTCGTTGCTAGATGTTGCTAGTCTGTGCTAGCCTGGTAGAAGAAACGAATCAGGTCCCTTGTGTGTTGTTCAACCCCTCCGTGCAACCCACATAACTTCCGGGCGGGCCCCGTGTCTGTTTGTTATTAGATTTAAATGGGGTCTCTACCAACAACGACAACAGGTACTACTACTGCTGCTGCTGCTCCTC